TCCTTTTTTCGTAGATCTATTTATTCAGAATGACTTATCTCTTAAACCGTGCTTTTAAATCTTGAACCGTTTTCATCATTGGATTCCTCGCGTCGAGATCTTCAAAACTATATCCCATGTTGATAGATTTTGACGATCTTTTTTTCACGAAAAACCGGACTGGGGGCACATTTTTTCCTTTACAAAATCCGTTTCTGAGAGGCACGGTCGTGCCTCTGGCGGAAGCAAAATTGTACCTCTCACAAAAAGAAAAAAAGAAAACACATTCTTTTCCGTTTTCGAGCGGCACAGTCGTGTGCCTCTCGCGAAGCAAAACCGTGTCTCTCGCGAAAAAAACATGTTTTTTTTCATTTTCGAGTGGCACGACCGTGCCTCTCATGGAAGCAAAACCATGCCTCTCGCGGAAGCAAAACCGTGTCTGTGGCGGAAGAAAAAAAAACAGAAAACAGAATTATTATTTTCTTTTCGAAGAGGCACTGTCTCTCGTGAAAGCAAAACCATACCTCTCGCGAAAGGAAAAGAAACACATTTTTCGCGCAATTTTTTACCTAAAAGCTAAGGAAGGTCGATGAAAAATCAAAAAGCCGAAAAGGGAAAAAAACCATCTAAAAAGCCGAAAACACGTGTGAAAAAATAAAATGAAAAAACTAAATTCGGAGGAAGCGTCCAGAGCGTGACACATGGCGACAGCTGAGAGCGCGCCACAGTCCATCATCGAGTGACCCTTGGGGAGGCCGAGAACAAGCGCTGCTCATTTAGTTGCTCCCTTCGTCATTAATTTTCTTTTAGACAACCCCACTAAATTTCTGGGACAAAAATAGTGTAGTTTGGGCTGGACGCGCCCACATGTGGCCGTAAGTGAGGAAGCCGAGCTCTCATCCGCTGACGTGCCGACCCGTCCACAGGGTAACGCGTCCACGCAAGCAGGCTTCGCCGATGTTCTGCTCCTTCCTGGTCGCTTGTGGAACGGATCGGTCGCCGGCCGGCTTTGCATGCCGCCGTGTCACTGTCAGCGGCGTTTGCTCGCCACGCAAATATCTCGGATGAAACGTGTCCCCTATCCAATGGTTGAGCCACGCACTTGGACTTCGAATCTCTATATTCTTTATTTAATATTCAAGTTTTTCCCACAAATCACGTTACCTTTTTGTTACAAGGAAATCAGGGGGTCCTCGACCGGGACATAGACGGATCCCATAGCATCTACTGGATGATTATATACCAGCCATAGCTAAGCCAAACGTGTCATGAATTTGGTGACGTTCTTCGATATACACTATTTCCTCCGTTCGAAATTACTCGTTCAAGAAATAAATATATCTAGATGTATTTTAATTGTAGATACATTCATTTTTATTCCTTTCCGTGACAAGTTATTCCGAACGAAGGGAGTACGACCTAATAGTTTGATGGTTATAACACCTCAGCATTTGATACAGTGTATTACTAGCTCGGTCCACCTAAATAGTTGACGTTAAGTCCATCTCAATTTTGTACAATGGCGAAGGCAGGAACATACATTAGGTATATGTAGAAATTCATGAAACATACAATGTAGCTAGTATACTAGACATATGTGTACATGTGACATGAAAGATGTTTTCCGCAAAAAGAAAACAAGAAATATGTCGTATACTATATGTGTACATACTTGGTATATTTGGCAAAGGTGGACACCAAAACTTGCCAAATAGCTGGCTCCGCCACTTTTGTTCTACCTGTATCATTATTCAATACGATGTATCCGTGTTTAAGTTTGACACATATCCTATTGGGATTCGGTTAAATTTCAAGCTTCCAATTAGTAAGAAAAATCAGCCTGTAATTTCTTCTTTAAAGAAAAATCGGGTATAGAGAGTAACAAGATGAAAGTGCGAAAGTATCAAAAAAAATGAAAGTGCAGAGCCTTTTCTTTCCTTTGTGTGCTATTGATTTATTTATTTTCACAACTTCTAACGATGCTGTACATACGACACTAATCCCCGGTGTTGTATCATTGAAATGATAACGCCGATAAGGCTAAAATAAATTCAGCAGAATGCAACAAGTTTTTTTTTTTGAGGCAAATGCAACAAGTTTTACCACCACGCACCAAACCAAATGAGTTATGCTCAATTATTTTCGTTCGACGCCGCAGATCAAACCATTCATGTGTGTGTAGCAAAGTGTTGGGCACCATCGGATCATACTAAAGATTGGACGCCAAGCATCGTACATGTAGTTCCATTTTGTTTCCGTGAAAACTCTTTTTTTTTTTAAACGGACCCGTGAAAACTCTATGGGATGGTATTGCTGCTTCAATTCTGAGGGAGCTCGATCAACGACAATTGTCCATGCCTTATAGGCTCTCAAGAACTACTGGAAGTAGCGTAACGATATATTCGAAGCTAGAAACTAAAAAGCAAAGAAAAACACAAAAGAAAATGAAACACATCAATCTGGTTATGCATGTCATAAAAAAATATAATTAAAAACTATGTTTAAATACGGATCCAACGATATAATTTTAACCATAGATTTGACTAATAAAATGTTTATGCATGTCATAAAAAATATATAATTGAAAACTATGTTTAAATACGGATCCAACGATATAATTTTTGTTGACATGCATTGACATTTTATTAGTTAAATCTTTGATAAAAAATTGGACAAAATACAAAAGAAACCAATAAACCAGGACGGAGATAATATTCACTTATTATGATTCTAGCCAAGCACCATTCATAGCTTAGTTTCACACGATGTGCTATTTTTGCGTACTCAGATGCACGTGAATAAGAAGTTTTGATAACTCGCCATAGTAATATTGCATACTAGTACACAAACTAGTTTTCTACCTTACTCTCACTCTTCTCAAAACAAGTTGTCGTCTCACTTTATAAATAAAGCAATCAGCACATCCATCCATGAAATTCACCTACCTTATACTCAAATATTATAACACTTTTATTTTTTAAAAATTATATTTATTATTAGTGAAGTTTTTCGGTTCTTAAGAAAGAACGATGAAACTGAGTGAGCCTCAGTTGACAAGTAGTAAGTATACGACGTACTCCCTCCGTCCTGAAATACTTGTCGGAGGAATGAATGTATCTAGACGTATTTTAGTTCTAAGATACATTCATTTTTATTCATTTCTCCGACAAGTATTTTTGGACGGAGGGAGTAGTAAATATGGGCTTTTGGCTTATACCATCTATACCTTCTAATAAAAGAAATAGGTATTCTTAGTTCGTCATGCTATTTCACAGGAAAACCTTTGATGTTTCTGACATTAAACCCGCGGTACGTATCAAATGTTTTTTTTAAATACTCATATCTTCTAAACTGTAACTCCAAATTTAACATGTTATATATGAAATTTGATTAGAAAAATATATGAAATCTGAATATGATGTTATTTTTCCTATTAACATTAAAAAAATATTATCTAGGATACAATCTTAATCAACAGTGCATTATCCGTTTTTCTTTCATATCGGTACTGATCCGGATTGTGGATGAACATCTCAGCGAATCAGGATTGAAGACGAAATTGAAAATCACTTGCTCGTTTCTTTGTACGTATTAAATCTACATGCAAGCCGTGTTTAAATAGAAGACATGTGGAATTTTGAACTTGCACTTTTGTAGGCAAAGGCCATCTTTATTTGGGCCGTAGTTACAAATACTCAGATTATAGACCATTTTTTGTAAATTAAAAGCATGTGGCATTTTTTTCTCCCGTTACGACGCACAGACTCTTTTACTAGTCATATAACAATATCGATTCATAAGCCAAAATCACCTATGAATGGGCTTTTTCTGCTTTTAAGCCAAAGTGGAAAATCCGCAAAAACTGAAATATAAGCCATAACAAACAGAGCCTAAGTCTACAAACTGACATACTAGTTGACTTTGAATGAAACGAGATGAACAAAATTATGGTATACACTCCTTTTCTACCAACAATTCTATTAGATTCTTAACAAAGTATAGGGTGTGGCTAGCTCTCATTTAGATCAAAATTAACTAAGTCTCATCTAGAAAAGTAAATCAAGGAAAAAAAGTTCTCACGAATCTTCTTGTAAAATCAAATGGTGTTGGAATTATATGAGAGTGTTAATTCTCATCTAGAATTAGCAAGTCCGTAAAGTATGTCGTACTTTTTGAGAAAAGCTTATAGAATTCAGCTTGTCACAAAATGAATCTGTGTCTTGTTTTCTTCCAAAGAAACAAAAAAACTAGTGTCATCATTACCTTGCAATGTTATTACTCCGGTGTGGTTAGGTTAAATCAAGGCAGTAACTAATTTCCTTGATCCAAAGCTAGTGTCGTGGTTTTAGTTCAAATTACACAGCAATATTCGTTTGCTTTTTCGTATTCTTGCCTGGTTAGGCCGGAGACGTCCACCGTCGGTGGTGTTTATATACTTTCACTCCAACTTTTTGTTTCACCTTCAAAATATCCATATCAGATGTTGGGAAAAGGAAATCCTTTGCCTAGTCAAAATAGACAACGGAAAATTGTACGTACAACTATTCATCGGGAGATTCATCAAACATCCAAAAATCCAGCGGACCAACGCGTGCGTGCATCCACGGTAGATGGATGTGGAAACAGTGGGAGAAACGCCTACAAATTCAAACGAAAACAACACCAGCGCAAGCTGCCAAGAGATCGCCGAGCGCGAGCACGCAAGCAGAGAGATTTTTCCTTCCCTCCCATCCCATCTCTCTCTCTGTCTCCCTTCCCCACAAACAATCCTCTCTTCTCCTCCGACCTCCATGGCTCCACGACCCCCTCCCCACCGCGCTCCACATATATAGGGCCTCTACTCCGCCCATGCCTCCATCTCTCTCTCTCGTTCGGCGCCGCCTCTCCTGCGCCAGCCACGCTATTCCTAACGACTAACTCGTGCGCGCCGCGATACGGACCCGCGTCACAAGGCTCAGCCGCCGCGCGCCTCGGAGATCGAGGAGAGAACAAGAGGTTTGGACTTGGGAGCGCGGCACGCCATGGACGCGCTGAGGTTTCTGGGCGGCGTCCGGCCCGCCGCGCCGCCGCAGCCCCCGCTGGCGCCGCCGCCAGCGCAGCGGCAGCAGCAGCAGACGCGCGCCGCCATGCCGCGCCTGTGGCCGCGCGGCGAGAGGCGGGGCGCCGGCGCGAGCGGAGAGGTTCGCGGCGATGAGGCGGGGACGAGGCCCGACGCGGAGGAGCGGAGGCAGGGCAATCAGCAGACGCGCGCCGCCTTGCCGCGCCTGTGGCCGCGCGGCGAGAGGCCGGGCGCCGGCGCGAGCGGAGAGGTCCGCGGCGAGGAGGCGGGGACGAGGCCCGACGCGGAGGAGCGGAGGCAGGGCAACTGGGTGTTGCAGATGCTGCGGGTGCAACCGAGGTGGGCGGATCAGGCGGACGCCGAGGCGGCCGGCGGTGGCGGGGGACGCGGAGGGCAGGAAGACGAGGCACCGGACGTGCCCGGGGCCGAGAGATGCGCGTCGTGCGGCGGCGGGGACGAGGAGGAGGAAGGCTGCGCCGTCGGGGCGGACGAGGGCGACGGCGAGGTGTTCGACCGCGCGTCCTTCTCGAGGCTCCTTCGGAAGGTGTCCATCCAGGACGCCAAGGAGTACTCCAGGATGTCCTACCTCTGCAACATCGCCTACATGATCCCCAAAATTCAGGTACGATCATTGCTTGCAGCAGCAGTGCCAGTTACATACATGCACGTTCCCTGTTTAACAATCACGGCCGGTCAACCCTGATGAGTTTCCTCTACGTGAACATTATACCTCATTTCGGTACAGCAGGCAGTGGTATTTTTAGGAATGCAAAGCTAGATTCAGTCTATTTTGGCCTTCACTGTACCTCTCTCCGGGTGATGGTGAAGTACTTGTTTTACTACCTTTCTGCAAACTCTGTTCCATCTCTTCCTCCGTTTCCATCAATCGTCACTTGGCTTACGCTGCTTTTGGACGTGCTCATGATGTAGTATTAGTTACACCAGTTACCTCATTGTTCTTTTATCTAATTTGAATACATTCTGGTAGAAAATTTGGGTGCCCGATTCAAGTTTTCCTAACACTGCATTTTTGGTTCCTCCTCGACCAAATCAGCCAAAATGTCTCCGCCGGTACAGTTTACAGTTTGTGACAACATCAGTGCAAGAGAAGGACAGAGCTAATCCTGATAGGAAGCAGGAGCAGAGCACTGAGAAAGGTGAATCTCCAGATAAAACACCTCGATTTGTCAAGAATGCTGCGCTGGGGAGCAAGGAGGAAGGAGGAAACGGCCCGGCGATAAACCCTTTTGGTGCTTACCAAGTCATGTCATCTGCTGCCTCATATTTGCATTCCCGGGCCATGGGCATCAATCCCTTTGGTTCCAGGACTAAGGGTAAGAATGATCCAACAACCATCATGGCCATTGTGAGTGGTGAGAACGGTGAAGGTTTAACCTTGGACGAAGCCTCATTTGTGGCCACAACAAATTCAGTAACTTCCATGGTTGCTGCCAAGGAAGAAACAAGACAAGCTGTTGCAGATGATCTGAATTCTTCAAGATCTTGTCCCTCTGAATGGTTTATTTGCGATGATGATCAAGGTAGCACAAGATACTTCGTAGTTCAGGTAGAACTCCTCCCTGATATCTCATGTCTCCGTGTGTGTCTTTAGCATGTTAGTTGACCCTGCCATTATTTTGCTCGATCATGACTTGCTTATCTTATTGGCAGGGCTCGGAGACGATCGCTTCTTGGCAGGCCAACCTACTATTTGAACCAGTCAAGTTTGAGGTATGCCGGTATTCAATCATTTTAACTTATTATGTAGCTTCATTTAGTTACGCATCATGGACACATCAAGCAAATTCAGTGATGCGTAAAAAACGTTTGCATTTGTTCTCGATGTTGAAAGGAACAGCTGTCACATTTTTGTAATCTCTGTGCATTTCTTATGCGCTCCAGGGACTCGACGTACTTGTTCACAGGGGAATATATGAAGCTGCCAAAGGGATGTATCACCAAATGCTGCCGTATGTCAGATCACACTTGAGAAATTATGGTAAATCCGCAGAATTGCGATTCACTGGCCATTCTCTTGGTGGGAGTTTGGCTTTGCTTGTGAATCTAATGCTACTGATGAGAGGAGAGGCACCTGCTGCATCATTGTTGCCTGTTATAACATTCGGTGCCCCATGCATCATGTGTGGCGGTGACCACTTACTCCGTAAACTCGGGCTACCGAAGAGTCATGTGCAATCAATCACAATGCATCGGGATATTGTTCCTCGAGTATTTTCGTGCAATTATCCTGACCATGTCGCCAACATTCTGAAGCTCGCCAATGGAAATTTCCGCAGTCACCCATGCCTTACAAACCAGGTATGCTCGTGTCTGGTGACCTCTTTATTTTGTAACACAAATGGTAAATTAGTTTTTTTTAACCTATGCGACAGATATTTCATTTATAGATAATCGAGGTCCATGATAGCCATTTTGTTGTTGCAACGACTTATGAGGGTAGGTTTGATTTCTGACATGGAAAACAATAGATAAGCACATTCATGGGTTGGATTATCTACCATATCTTCTTTGTTGATTTTCTCACTGTAACTATATTATATAGGACTAAAACATGCATCTTGTAAAAATAGTAGTAATTGGTTGATGCCAGTTCTTCTGAATAAGCATTGGACATATACATAGGATCAATGCATGTCCACCAATCGCACACTCTTAAGTCTTAACCAATAATGATGGTGTAATCCCTTCTCTGTAATTCACTGCAGAAACTCTTGTATGCCCCAATGGGGGAAGTCCTCATCTTGCAGCCGGACAAGAGGCTCTCCCCGCACCACCACCTTCTCCCACAGGACAGTGGCATCTACTACCTGGGCGATTCAGCAGGCATCTCCCTGAAACTGCTCCAATCGGCCGTGTCGGCGTTCTTCAACTCCCCGCACCCGTTGGAGATCCTCAAGGACGGCGGCGCCTACGGCCCCAAGGGCACGGTGTACCGCGACCACGACGTGAACTCGTACCTGCGGTCGGTCCGCGGCGTGGTGCGCAAGGAGGTGCGGCGCCTCCGGGAGGCGGAGCGGGAGCGGTGGCAGCTCCTCCTGTGGTGGCCGCTGGCCGTGCACGGCGTGCTGGCCACCGGCATTGGCGGGTGGGGCAGGTACGGCGAGCTCGCGGACGCGGTGGCGCGGGGAGGGAAGGAGGCGGCGAGGCAGGCCCAGCAGCACGCCCGGCTGCTGGCGCTGTTCCTGCTGCCGGTGAAGCTGCTCGTGCTCGGGGCTCTCCTGGCCGTTAGACTGAGGTGATAGATGATGACGATGATGATCATACGTAGTTCCTTTCGTTTCGTTCGCTTGCACAGCGATAGCATTACATGATTCTTTTGTCCGAGCCGGGACGCCAAGCAGACATGTCGTGATCGGAATGCTCGGATGCTGCCTTTCTTTGAGATCGATGCATCAGCAAAGTGTGTGTATAACAGATTAACATGAAGGCTCGGATTATAGAAAAGCACCATCAGCAAGCTTGTCTCGAAGTAGCATCTTCTCTTATCGTTGTTGCCTCGTGTGGTTCTTGTCTATGTTACAACTCAACAACCTTATTAGTAAAAAAAAGGAGGTTGAGCTGTAGGAGATAACCTCAGACTGATGCTAAAATGGAGTACCAGGTTGTATTAACTGCTCACATGAGTAGGTGAAGCTGCTCGTTGCCTCTTTCTTTTTGGACGGGAAATATGGGATCTTTATTGCATCAGAGGAATTCGGTTACAATCAGCAATGAAGCTGGTAACACTGCTAAAGAAGTACTTCCTCTATTCCTAAATATAAGTCTTTGTAGGTATTTCACTATGGACAACATACGGATGTATATAGATGCATTTTGTGGGTAGATTCACTTATTTTGCTCCGTATGTGCTCCATAGTGAAATCTTTTTAAAGACTTATATTTAGGAAAGGAGGGAGTAGCACGTTTAGCACAAAGATCCGCAGAGTCGTTACAGACCCTGGGAGTGTGCTGAACCGAAAAGGAAGCGAAATTTAAAGTTTTGTCCCTAATTTCATCGAAGATAGGCGCCAGCAATGACCTTCCATTGTGACACGATAGCCAGAGGTTTACGACCTCTAAGCAATCAACCTTCATGACAACATGCGAGAAACCTCTGAGCTGAGCAAAAACAACTCCCTCTTGCAATGCTTGCACTTCAGCGATAAGTGGATCTGTAACACCAGGTAAAGGTTTGCACCACGCACCCATGAATGAGAGGTGAGAGCGTACAACGCCTCCCGCTCCTCCCACTTGTGCCTGAGTATCGATAGCTCCGTCTATGTTGATCTTTACCCAACCAGGATCAGGCGGGCGCCAACACTGCCCCATTGACCAACACGATGAGTATTTGGTACTTCTAGCAAGGCTAGATCATCTCTCGCCCGTTTAATTGCTTGCACCGGGTCGTACCCATCCTCATCATGGGTCCAGCAATTACGTGAATTCCAGATTGCATGCATAATAGTGATCATCTTGCATCTATCTGGTTCGGTGAATGAACTGTCCACCATAAGATCCCTTGTCCATGTCTCTTGGGTGTAGACGTGGATGCTTCAGGCCCAAGATTTCCTTCGAAGCATTCCAAAAGCTTTTGGCATGAGAACAGTGGACGAGAGCATGCATCAAATCTTCCTCGGCGGTCTTACATAGGTCACACAAGGATGATGTTCTTATATGTCTGTAGCGCATTGTGCCGTAGTCAGGAAGAACCCCTCGCAACACTCGCCACCAAAAAACCCGAACTCTCGGAGTGACCTTGAGCTTCCATAAGGCGTTCCATACCTGTTTTCCTGTCAATGAAGTTCCTGCTACCGTCCCTTCCCCTAGAGCAGGATGCTCGTTTCGGGTCACAAGAGCGCGATAAGCTGATTTCACGGAGTACTCGCCCGACCTTTCTAGAGCCCAAGCCAGAAAGTCGTCACCACCACCTGCCCGAATTGGTATATTCAGTATGGCCTCAGCATCGGTTGCAAAAAAATTCCTTCATACCAACTCAATGTCCCATGTTCCGGTATGATCTCTACTCCTATAAAATTCTGAGTTGATGATGATGGTGTGCCTGCCATCTTTCACCAGTAGCCGTTGGATCTAGATCTGACGCACACAAAGCAAACTGCTGTAGTTTTGCAAAAAGATGCCCGCACTTGTTTCCATATTTACAAACAACTCCTTGTCTCTCACAATCAGCCTTATCTCTTCCCCATCATATCCAGAAGGCCATGGAACAATCTGGTGTGATGGCCGCTGCCGGCGCCATCCATCCTCAATCTTGATGTTCCGTGCATTGCACGGGCATCTTACTAGTTATTGATGAGTTGGGAGACCATCTCAAGCTGATCAGTCCCCTGTCTTCCCATGGGCTTGAGCGACTGTGTGGTAGGTATCCAGCGGTCGTTCCATATGGGGATAGTCTGGCCGCTACCAACACGTTTAATGAGCCCCTTCTCCAGTGCTGTGCGCCCTGCGATAATAGCTTTCCATGTTGCTTGTTGCCTTGCCAGAACCTACTCATGCAGAGTCGTTGCAGACTCTACATAGTAGTATTGACCTACGTATCATTTACGCATTGCTTAGGGCATCTCCAGCAACGCCCCCAACAGCCCCCCCCCCAGGCCACTTTTTCGGCGCCGGCGCCGAAAAACGGCCCAGTTGCGCCCCCAGGACGCCGAAAATCGCCGGTTCGGACCTTTTTTCCGCCCGGCGGTCACAGGCCGAACCCGGCACGCTGGGGAGCCGTTGGGGGCTCCGGCGCTAGGGAAAAGCACGCCTGGCCCACACCGACAGAGGAAAAGTAAAGGTTTTCTTCCCCCGACTCGCCTCGCACCCCGCGCCCTCGGCCACCACTAGCTATATCCCGGCGACGGCCGCCGGCCTACTCCGCTA